CGCAATGCACCCACCAGCACACCCACCCACGAACACACCCACCCACCAGCACACCCACCCACCAGCACACACACCCATCAGCACACACACACACACACCAGCACACCCACCCACCAGCACACACACCCACCAGCACACCCACCCACCAGAACACTCACCCACCAGCACACACACCCACCAGCACACACACCCACCAGTACACACACCAGCACACCCACCCACCAGCACACACACCCACCAGCACACCCACACACCAACACACCCACCCACCAGCACACCCACTCACCCACCCACCAGCACACCCACCCACCAACACACCCACCCACCAGCACACCCACCCACCAGCACACACACCCACCAGCACACACACACACACACACCAACACACCAGCACACCCACCCACCAGTACACACACACACACCAGCACACCCACCCACCAGCACACACACCCACCAGCACACACACCCACCAGCACACTCACCCACCAGCACACACACCCACCAGCACACCCACCCACCAGCACACACACACCCACCAGCACACCCACACACCAACACACCCACCCACCAGCACACCCACTCACCCACCCACCAGCACACCCACCCACCAACACACCCACCCACCAGCACACCCACCCACCAGCACACACACCCACCAGCACACACACACACACCCACCAACACACCAGCACACACACCCACCAGCACACACACCCACCAGCACACCCACACACCAACACACCCACCCACCAGCACACGCACCCACCAGCACACACACACCAGTACACCCACACACCAGCACACCCACCCACCCACCAGCACACCCACCCACCAGCACACACACCCACCAGCACACACACACACCCACCAGCACACACACCCACCAGCACACACACCCACCAGCACACACACCCACCAGCACACACACACACACCAGCACACCCACCCACTAGCACACACGCCCACCAGCACACACACCCACCAGCACACACACCCACCAGCACACACACCCACCAGCACACACACCCACCAGCACACCCACACACCAGCACACACACCCACCAGCACATCCACACACCAGCACACACACCCACCAGCACACACACACACCAGCACGCACACCCACCAGCACACACACCCACCCACCAGCACACACACCCACCAGCACACTCACCCACCAGCACACACACCCAGCAGCACACACACCCACCAGCACACCCACCCACCAGCACACACACACACACACACCAACACACCAGCACACCCACCCACCAGCACACACACACACACCAGCACACCCACCCACCAGCACACACACCCACCAGCACACACACCCACCAGCACACTCACCCACCAGCACACACACCCACCAGCACACCCACACACCAACACACCCACCCACCAGCACACCCACCCACCAGCACACACACCCACCAGCACACACACCCACCAGCACACTCACCCACCAGCACACACACCCACCAGCACACACACCCACCAGCACACCCACACACCAACACACCCACCCACCAGCACACCCACTCACCCACCCACCAGCACACCCACCCACCAACACACCCACCCACCAGCACACCCACCCACCAGCACACACACCCACCAGCACACACACCCACCAGCACACACACCCACCAGCACACACACCCACCAGCACACCCACACACCAACACACCCACCCACCAGCACACCCACTCACCCACCCACCAGCACACCCACCCACCAACACACCCACCCACCCACCAGCACACACACCCACCAGCACACACACACACACCCACCAACACACCAGCACACACACCCACCAGCACACACACCCACCAGCACACCCACACACCAACACACCCACCCACCAGCACACGCACCCACCAGCACACACACACCAGTACACCCACACACCAGCACACCCACCCACCCACCAGCACACCCACCCACCAGCACACACACCCACCAGCACACACACACACCCACCAGCACACACACCCACCAGCACACACACCCACCAGCACACACACCCACCAGCACACACACACACACCAGCACACCCACCCACCAGCACACACACCCACCAGCACACACACCCACTAGCACACACACCCACCAGCACACACACCCACCAGCACACACACCCACCAGCACACACACCCACCAGCACACACACCCACCAGCACACCCACACACCAGCACACACACCCACCAGCACATCCACACACCAGCACACACACCCACCAGCACACACACACACCAGCACGCACACCCACCAGCACACACACCCACCCACCAGCACACACACCCACCAGCACACTCACCCACCAGCACACCCACCCAGCAGCACACACACCCACCAGCACACACACCCACCAGCACACACACACCCACCAGCACACACACCCACCAGCACACCCACCCACCAGTACACACATCCACCAGCACCCCCACCCACCAGCACACCTTAGACCTTAGACATGCCCATCGCGGGAGTGATGATAGCGAACAGCTAAGTAAGACATAGCAACTTGTGCTGGGATTACACCATTGAACAGCTTGCAAGGCTGATGAATTGACCGCCACTATTTTTAGCCTGGTATCCACCACACAGCTGTTGAAGTGACTTTTTCTGGCCAGTGAATCCCTATTTTTCATTTTTCCATTTTTTTCCTTTTTTCCTTTTTTTTTCTTTTTCTACACACACACCACACCACATACTCCGGCATGCACTGGCTGTTGGTAACCACCCAGGAGAATGAAAGAAAAGTCAGGAAGAGTCTGAGAAAGAGAAGAAAGACCTGTGTGACCATAATCGTCGGGAATCGAACCCGCAACCTATCGATTGGAAATCGCTGCACATACCACTGCACCATATGGGACACCCACCAGCACACACACCCACCAGCACACACACCCACCAGCACACACACACACACACACACACACACACACCAGCACACGCACACACACACACCAGCACACCCACCACCAATAGGCCCCCGTGTAATATTCCGGCATTTTTTTAGCATTTTCGGTACAATCCGCGAACCCAGCACTTTGGGCTCGTGATGCAGCATTTTGGGGGAAACAGAGCACTTGGCCGTTGTGTATCAAGAAAAACTTCCCAAACAAGAACGTCACTTACGCATTCCGTGGGTTGGCTTCTTGTTGAGAAGTTTATGAATTGTTTACCATGGCAGACTCGAGCAAGTCTCTTATTGAGTATTTTCTAACTCCCTGGTTTTGACGGCGTGTGCTGAGGATTACAAAAAAAGTCGGCATTTTCCGAGCATTTTTGGCAAAGTTTGGGAGCATTTTCGGCAAGGTTAACGAGAATTTCCCAAAAGCATTTTCGGCAAAGTTTCGGGCATATTACACCGGGCTCTACCCACCAACCAGCACACCCACCCACCAACACACCCACCCACCAGCACACCCACCTACTCAGACACACACACACACACCATGTACCACACACACACGCACGCACACGCAACCACGTCCACACACGGATACTCACGTTCAAAGACCATACTGAACATTGACCATCACACACAGAACTCCCCTACGATAACACAACACCCTCCCCCCCCCCCCCCCCCACACACACCTACCCACACACACTGCATTGACACGCATATACACCCACCACCCCTCCTGCAAATCCAGAAACTGCAACGATGAACTTTGACAGTAGGCTTGTATGCAAACTGCCAACCCACACTACCCCCCCCCCCCCTGCCTTTGCAAACCCACACTCCCCCCCTGCCTTTGCAAACCCACACTACCCAGGGGCGTACGAGGGGTTTTGGAAGTGGTACGACCGAAGGTGGGTGCGGCCGAAGGCCGTGTTGGAGGGGGGTGCGGGGGACCTCCCCCGGGAAAATTTTGTAAAAAAGACACAAAATCCTGCGTTCTGGGTTACTTGTGGCACACTTCAGGCGCAGTGTGCAGTCGAGTCGAGTACAGTACTCAGTACGACTGCACACTTCAGGCGCAGTGTGCAGTCGAGTCGAGTACAGTACTCAGTACGACTGCACACTTCAGGCGCAGTGTGCAGTCGAGTCGAGTACAGTACTCAGTACGACTGCACACTTCAGGCGCAGTGTGCAGTCGAGTCGAGTACAGTACTCAGTACGACTGCAGATGCATAACAGATCTACGAGTAGATCTACGAGTGTAGAAAATGGTCAAAGTCTGATGCGCATACATGTACATCAACATGATCAAGAGTCATAACCATCATAATCCCCTCGGATCAAAAACAATGGTGCCCTGCCTCGAGACCGGCCTTGCGCTGGTGTGGAGTGTACGCATGACATCAGAAGATCCGATTCCGCTCGACCAATACATATGCAGAGCTGGATCGCGATATCGGCGTTGCACACTCTGCAGTCTGGGGGGTTATGTACTCTTGTGAACATGTACATATGTATCAGCATCGATGGATCCTGATTTTTTTATTACGGTTTTGCACGTTCCAGACGGACCACACTTTTCGAAAAGTGGTACGGTCATGGTCGTACCAGTCGTAGCGGGTACTACGCCCCTGCTACCCCCCCCCCCCTGCTTTTGCCAACCCACACTACCCCCCCCCCACCTGGCTTTGCAAACCCACACTCCCCCCTGCCTTTGCCAACCCACACTACCCCCCCCCCCCCCCCCCCCGTGCCTTTGCCAACCCACACTACCCCCCCCCCCCCACCCCCTACCTTTGCCAACCCACACTACCCCCCCCCCCCACCCCACCCCCCCTGCCTTTGCCAACCCACATTACCCCCGCCCCCACGTGTGCAAACCCACGCACTGCAATGATACACTACTACCACCTCCTCCACCACACCTGAAAAGTTACCCACTGACACCCATCCAACTCATATTCTGTACATGACGGCATATTTGAGTATATACGTAGTCCAGCAGGTGACAGACAGCCTGCAAACAACCACATACCTGTCACAATTCACGTTATGAACACTAAGAAAACTCATGCTTACCGTCATCATCCATTTCTCAGCTTCACAATCTCTGTAGCATGTCTTACGTTGTGTTCATATAGCACTATCCTGTTTACTGGAGATAACAAAACAATGAGTAGACAGACAATGAGACAAAAATCGCACACACCTATTCAGAGACAATCAGCAGAAGAACAGAAAGCTGTCAGACAATTGAAGGACACATTGGAGCCAGAGTGGGGGGGGGGGGGAGGGGGGAGGCGGGGAGGAGGAGGCGAGGAGTGGGGAGGAGGAGGCGAGGAGTGGGGGGGGGGGGGGGGGAGGAGGAGGCGAGGAGTGGGGGGAGGAGGAGACGAGGAGTGGGGGGAGGAGGAGACGAGGAGTGGGGGGAGGAGGAGACGAGGAGTGGGGGGGGGGGGGAGGAGGATGGAATACATTACTAGCTGGCTGAGGTAGTTTTACGGTCGTCTGAGCACGGTAAAAAAAATGGTACTGTTGACATCGGGTTTTTTTGTTAAAAACTTAAATGGGGGTGGGGAGTTAACCCGAAGCAACAAATTTCCCCATTTGTATAATCACCTACAGTCCATTTGAAAACTATAGACGCGTACCTAGGCAAAAACCGTTATGCCAGCATCTATACCACATAAAATCTGTGATCACTTTGCGCATAAATTTTCCAAATAGACCGATCCCCTTATTATACTGGGTTCGAGCACGGGGGCAACCTCACTCGCGATCGAGCTAGTTTTTGAACGTGACAGCATCTTTGACAGTGTGTTTCAGGTTTGTTTTGGAATGTCTTCTGCTTAGTTCAAGTAGTTTGCGATGGCTTCGAGCGGTGCTAAACCTCCTGCTGGTAGGAGCAGAGTCTCCCAGAGAGACATGGACTGTGATGCCGCTGCAGTTTTTTTACGAGGCGCGGGAGGGAACGATCTCGGGCCACAAACAGGAGTTACTCCAGAGGTGAGTTTTTTTGTTGTTGAAATATTCGAATCGCGAATCGTGGTGTGAGATATATTTTGTGCCTAGGCTACAGCAGACCATATTTCTTTCTCCTTGCGATCGGTGCTGAAGATAATAGTAACCTTTTTCTGGTCTGTCTTTTCCTCTCCAGAGCCATCTTCTATGAAGGTAACCGTGGTGCTGCCAAGTCACCAAGTCGCGATCAGCAGCCCTGAAGTGGAAAAATCGATTTTCCAACGATCTGGTTGGACATCAGCCACTAAAGTACTTCTGATTTGCCTGTAGTGACAACAGCAGCCATCCTTGGACACCTTGCAAAGACAGGAAAAGCCACTGGTGGAAGCGACTGCTAAGAGGTGACGATAGCAGTGCAGTGGTGATCGCTGTTTTGTCAAGTCGAAGGGCTAGCCAACCCAGAGGAAGCATAAAAAAAACGATGAGCAGTGCGTGTTATTTTTTGAGCGTGAAGAGCTAGAGGAGGACAGTGCAAACACATGGACGGAGTGGATGGTGTTTGAAGAACAGTGTGCTGTGTGCCGGCTGGTGGTCTTTGTCAGCATGTATTCGTGCTGCTTCTTGTGCTGGAACACTTCTCGCCCAGGAAGGCAGATTGCGTGCTCCCTGGCCCTCAGTTGGCTATGGGGCATTTGTTCCAGGAACATTACCCCAGAGCCAATGATGAGTCGTACCTTTGAAAAGTCGCTGTTAATCGCAAGCGTAGCGCAGTGGATTGCTCCCTCTTCGAAGCACGAGGGCCAAAGCTTGCCGCTGTCTGCAGCAAAGTGTGTGTGCGGTTCTTTCGAACCTATGAATATACCCCCTGCACGTTCAGAGTGAACTATTTTCTAGTATATTTAACATCCTCAACCCGCCACCACCATGCGCTCTTGGCCGAACTAATGCACGAAGCATAAACACACCAGCACAGCAAGGACACTTCCGTTGACAGATATTGTTTACGCCTCTAGACCGCTGTTTCTTTTCTTCGAGCTCATCGTTAGAGGAGGATAGTAGCAGGATACTAATGATGATATAATAGAAGATGATAGACGGTTTATGGTCCGATATTGATGATTGAAGATCTAAGAAAGCAATGACAGTGATCGCGAAATGGATAATATTATCATGATTATATGCCAGTCTGGTAATGCGTTGTACTAGTGGACAGTATTGAAATCATCACTGCATTCGATGCAAATATTGGTATACCTTTGGTTTCAGTATTGGAAAAAAAGAGTAAGAGAACCTGGTTGATTTGGTTGCATCTGCGACTGGCTACCGGGTGTTGTGATCAGCAATGTTACCATGGGAGAAAATAAGAGCGCAAGGATCTGTTGGGTCTTTTTGTGCCGGTGCGAGAACCCTAAGTGCATGGCAAAATAGAACTGTTTCATCCACAATGCAGAATGTCTTGCGGTACATGGCATTGATGACTGAACATCTCGCCAGCTCGCCCAAATGGGGATCATGCCCAAACGGAGGAACAAGACGTCTTTCCAGCTCAGCTAGCTATATAGTATATACCGTGAAACGGATGATTAACTTGTGCCACGCATGACAGCTTCTGTCCCATTCGGCCCAGGCTTAGACACATCAATGCCAATAGCAGCTGATCCTCCATTACATGCTTATTGGCGATTTACGGCCACCTCCAACTGTATCCGCCGTCCCTCAGCTTCCGTCTTCGCAGATCTGGCTCGGCGCAGTACATTTTCTCGGCTAGGCTTAAAGAAGTCCCACAGGGCGGTCCAAACACCTGAAGGCAAACCAGTCAGAAACTGGCGCGGCTCAGAGTCTTTCTTTATGTTATTGTACGTAAGCTGTTTTTCGGCTTTCTTCACCCCATCGTCCAACTGCTCCACGAGACTCTGTACACGAGCTCTACTTGCTGCCAACTCCTGATGCAGATGCTGCACTTCCATTACAGGACCAAACTGCACTAAGCCAGGTTCCTTTCCAACTCAAAATGCCGTTGCCTCTCAGCAAAATACTGGTTTGCGAGCATGGGGAGCTCGTGATGCAGACGCTGCACTTCCATGACCGAACTGCACTAGGCTCAGCAACTACTGTTTTGCGAGCATAGGGAGCAGAGCGTCCAGACTCCACTCTCTTGCGAAAAGCAAACCTGGTACCGTAGGACAGCTGTTTGGTTTCCTGGACTCATCCTGCCCTTGTAGAGCTGGGCAAAACGATTTCGACTTCGGGATCGAAATGATCGCTGCATCTCAAATATTCAGAGTGACCCTAAAACTACGTCCTTCCTCACGGGGAATAGCCTGGATCCGCTTGCTCCAGGCCGCTGTGGCTCCACACGACGAAAGGAGTGAAATGACTTGCTTGCTTCGTCCTCCTGTTCTGACAGTGAGGAACGCAGCAATGATCCTGAGAAGGCATCCTGAAGTCGTAAAAAGGAAGACGTCTAAACAAAAACAAAACAGCTCAAATCAAAAGTTCTTGTGGCATTTTTGTAGACAGGCTTGCACTGCGTGCAGATTTCGCGTGCTCTGCACTTCGCATGCGATAAGTCACGCAAAGCCGAGGTGAGGTTGGTCGCGTGTGTGCAGCAGGATCCCACGCGACTGCGGAGTTGCCCCCTTGCTCGAACCCAGACAATAATAAGGGGATCGGTCTATTGGGCGTCTGTTATCCAATCGTTTAGAAACTCTATGAGAGTAATTGTGGAGCGATCCTGAGCAATATTCCGAAAACTATTCTCAAAAAGTTCCAGCCAAATTTGAAATATTTCAAAAACCCTATGCGTCTATAGTTTTTGAAATGGACTGTAGTCCTCTCTATTCGTGTACACAGCGGTGATCAATGAAATGTGGACATAACGGAAGTTTTGAAAGACAAATTTCACTTTCAAGTTCACACTCCAATGAAAGTAAAACTCATTGACGAATTTCGCGTTGTGATGAGCAAGTCGCGTCACTCAAGTACGTGTCGGGCGTTGCGCAGCCCTAGACCTGAAAACACTGGGTTGCCAAATATGGTGCAAGGTGCAAACTACTTGAGTCACATGACTGGATTTCATTGAGCGGCACTGTACATGTGTACGGGCACTACAACCTAGTAAACGGAATTTTCTTTTCTTTTTGTTTCAGTACAAAATTCACATTATCTCCAGAGACTGGGGTGAAACATGGAGTGTGGTGGTGGGTCCCACTAAGCTCAGCCGACCAGAGGTCTCGGCTTCATAGCTCCATTGACGCACCAAAGTCAGACAGTCCTGAGACGAATCTGCAGGCGTGTAGCAGTCCCATTTAGGTTGGTCCGGCAAGATCCGACTTTGATGCTCCCCCCCCCCCCCCCCCCCATACTCATACATATGCCGGTACATGTACATGACTTTATCTTGCCCGTAAAAGAGGCCGTTACCCCGCCAAAAACAAACAAACAAACATGTACATACATTGTACAATGGACAGGTACATGCATGTAATCGTGACCATGCAGAGTGACATAGGGCGAGAAAAGGAAGGACGTTCTGCATGAGTCAGGAAAAGGGCATCAGCATGTTGTGTCCGTCCAAACAGAACTTGTTGAAGCCTGTGAAGGCATAGCAACAGTATCTAAATGCATGTGATAAATGAACCAAAATGTACCTTTGGAGGAGGAGAAAGTGTATTGCAATGGACTATCTTTGGTACAAACCCTATCTAGAAAGAATTGGAGGAAGAAAAGAATCCGAACACGTTTCAGGAAGTACAGAGTAGGAACATTCACGGGCATGACTGTCCTCATGACCTTCAGCAGGGTCATCATGATTCTTGATGACATGTACAATGTAGGTCTACCACCGGCACCAAGAGTCCATAACTCTTGCCGGCACTACTATGTAATACCTCTATACTATTGTACACATCATGCACATCATCATCATCATCATGGGGGATATCCTGAGCTGCTCACATGGGTGAGCTCCCCCCCCCCCTTTTTTTTTTTTTTTTTTTTTTTTTTTTTTTGGTGCAGGGCACTGTGCAGTCCCAGACCTGCAAACACTGGGCTGTGCACTGGTGCAGAGCACTGTGCAGTCCCAGACCTGCAAACACTGGACTGTACACTGGTGCAGGGCACTGTGCAGTCCAAGACCTGCAAACACTGGGCTGTGCACTGGTGCAGGGCACTGTGCAGTCCCAGACCTGCAAACACTGGGCTGTGCACTGGTGCAGGGCACTGTGCAGTCCCAGACCTGCAAACACTGGGCTGTGCACTGGTGCAGGGCACTGTGCAGTCCCAGACCTGCAAACACTGGGCTGTGCACTGGTGCAGGGCACTGTGCAGTCCCAGACCTGCAAACACTGGGCTGTACACTGGTGCAGGGCACTGTGCAGTCCCAGACCTGCAAACACTGGGCTGTGCACTGGTGCAGGGCACTGTGCAGTCCCAGACCTGCAAACACTGGGCTGTACACTGGTGCAGGGCACTGTGCAGTCCCAGACCTGCAAACACTGGGCTGTGCACTGGTGCAGGGCACTGTGCAGTCCCAGACCTGCAAACACTGGGCTGTACACTGGTGCAGGGCACTGTGCAGTCCCAGACCTGCAAACACTGGGCTGTGCACTGGTGCAGGGCACTGTGCAGTCCCAGACCTGCAAACACAGGGCTGTGCAGTGGTACAGGGCACTGTGCAGTCCCAGACCTGCAGACACTGGGCTGTACACTGGTGCAGGGCTGACTGTGCAGTCCCAGACCTGCAAACACTGGGCTGTACACTGGTGCATTAAAGGGGAAGTCCGGTAAAAAAGTAAAATATCAGCGTCCGTAGAGTTTCGGGCGCTGAGTCGAATCGTGTCGGTCCCACGTGTCTCCGACAAAGCGTTCTCGAGATATTTCTGTTTGAAAAACTGAGTTTCGGGGGCTGCGCCATGACGTCATGCGGCCGCGCCACACCCTCCGCAACGTCATAGCGTGCAGCTAGGTCAAAAGGAGTGCGTGAAAGCAATAGTGTCAATGCTATTTCAAATGATTTGGCGACAGATAGTACCGCATTTGCCCGATTATAAGTCACACCTTTTTACACTAAAATTCAGTGTAAAAAAGGGGGTGCGACTTACAATCTAGCGTGACATACTACTGAAGTGAATATATCGCAACAATATTGCTCAAACCTGAAAATGGGGTGCGACTTATAATCGAGTGCGACTTATAATCGGGGAAATACGGTAGGTGGTGCAAGGGACCCCGAAGACGGAACTCTTTGTGAGAGTGTAGATGCAGCCATGGCTGACCTTCATGAGTTCGGTCTTGGGCTAAGAACCTCGGTATTCAGCTGAAGAAATGGCAGCGCGGGCCGGTCAGGAGCGAGCGCTGCTGCGTTTCCGACTGATGAAGAAGCAGCAGCTATTGCAGACGAGGCTGATATAATTATCAGATCTCTGGAGAGCAGAGTCGCCAAAATGGAGAAGAGTGATGCGCGTGCTCTAAATGTTGTTCCAGTCTGATTCGCTTGGACTCCAGTAGCCTGCCACATGTTGATGTTTTGGTGCAAACTTGGCATATTTCCGACTACTGTGGAGAACAGTGCAGGCACGGGCACGACTCTTCGATTCAAGACTCGCAGCACTACGGGATCTGAAAGTATTAGGTCCGGGAGCTGTTCGCTGTTTTTGTCACTTGTCTGAAAGTAGTCACCGTTGTGCACTCATCGTTGTAGCATAAAAGAAAGAGGCAGGACTATTCCATGCGGAAAACTAAAATTTTCTTTCTCAAAGCACAACCACCGCCGGCATCGGCGAGGAGAAATGCACGTTCCTGACTACATGTACATGACTTCACATACGCCTGATCATGTGACGAGTGTAGTACATGACTTTACATACGCCTGATCATGTGACGAGTGTAGTACATGACTTTACATACGCCTGATCATGTGACGAGTGTAGTACATGACAAGTCCGTGTCTTGACTAGTTCTTTATCTAAGTTTTGAGTTTTTTTAATCGAGTCTTATTGTAGCTACCCCAGCAGGCCAGCACGGCACTAGTGCGGGAGTAGTTCTGTGTGTGATGAGTTTGTTGACTACACTACAGCGCTGGTCTGCTGCACGCAGCGCAGAGCTAGTCTGCACGCAGCGCAGAGCTAGTAGAGGCCAGTGCGGACGGAAAAGTCCAACTCGGAAACGGCTAAAATAAGGGAAAACCTCGAGGTTTGCTGAACTGAAAATCACAGGGTACCAAAATAATAAAATACAATACAATACAAAAGGGTACGTAATGTTTGTAACATTGAATCGAATGGTCTTGGTCCGAAGAAGCTGCGACAAACGGTTCCCCAATCGAACGCGCTCCGAATATGGCCATTTTGTACACAACTAGATGGTGTGGCTGAACTTGCTGCACGCTGTGACGTCATCACCTGGATCTGGGTGATGCGCGCTCAAATTCGCACATGTTCGATTGGGCGTATCTGACGAACCATAGGCCGCTGCCTCCTAGACCTAGGACAAAGACCATTCGACTCAGCGCCCCGAACTCTACGGGCTGTGAAATTTTTAAATTTAAAATTTAAAAAAATATTTTCACCGGACTTCCCCTTTAATGCGTCTATGAACTCCCCCCCCCCCCCCCCCCGTGTCATTGAACACAGCTCTGCATTATACTATCATTGGTATCCGAACTGTACATTGAGATATCCTTCACCGCCGTTCTTTGTAGAACGCAAGAAATTCATTCAGCTACTCCTCGAGCCGTCCAAGTACGAAATCACAGAGCAATACAGATAATAATTATACGCTAGTACATACACACAGAAAATACAAGATCACTAACCAGGAGATGCGCGTGTTCACTGTGTGACGCTGCGACCCAGTTTCTCAATGACGTCCCTTTGGTTTTGGACTCTTCGAATAACACCAGCCCGCTATCGCTGCACTGCCTGTACTGAATCAGACTAGACTCCCTACCACCAGAGCGGACAACTAGCGATAGCTAGCGAATCAGCTAGAGAATGGAACCAGAGTACTCCGTCTTTGGCGATGTGTACAATCATGCAAGTAGGTTGTGACATCTGAACGCACGGACACACACCTCTGCCACTGATAGTGATAGTCTCATCACGTAAGTTCTTCGTCCTTCGTCCTTGGCTAGTACTTAGTAGTAGTAGAACTAGTAGGCTCTAGTAGTAGCCGCTGCTACACGCAAGTACTGAAGTAGAGCGTAGATATACACGGAAACGATGGGTGTTGAGCAGACCAGAACAGGACTGGAGTGATTATGTTTGCCGCTTCCGTCCGGACCTACACTGAGTTTATTATTTTATGCTCTCCATGATCCACAAGGTGTAGCGAGCTGCGTGGACGTACTGGTACTGGCAAAGGAAAGTGTCTGCTGTTCCCACGGACGTAAACGACGCGGCAGAGTCGGAGCTGGCTTGCTAGCTGTATGCGAAAATATACTAGTAGTAGTAGTAGTACTAGTACTAGCATCTACTGATCTAGTCCTAGTGACCTACTTCCGGGAGTACTGACCTAGTCCGTTAGTAGTCGTTCACTACAACCAAGACTAGCGAGTACGGTTACTGCTAAAACAGCAGATGGGGGCGCCTGTACCATGTGTACTGTCGTTGCGCGACTCGAAAACGAAGAACTGACTCAGCTCAGTCGTTGTGCTTGCGGCTGACCTGCCAAATAATAATAATTAGGCCACCCACAATCGTTGTTTCGGGTCACCCGACCGACCGTCTTTTTTCACCCGACCGCAATTTTTTTTTATTGTGCATGCAAATGTACATGACTAGACTATGTACGTACATATGTACACAAGCGCAGTCCGATCCAGTCATCGACCTCAGAAGCAGCCAAATAAAATAACAGGATGAAGCGCTTGGTGACGATGTTGTCTTCCGATCCGCAATCGGTCCTGAAACAGCATCAGCTCCGCCACCGCGTCGCTCTTTGACAGACGTTTCAAGGTGAGAACTGCTCCTCAGACTCGTTTGCCAGCGAGGCCAAGGTCTGGTCCTGGAGGGGACCTGGGTCTGATGGGACAATGACTGTGCTGGATCGTCTACAGTCATGATTTGATCGACTGGCTTGATGGACAAAAGCTATTCGATATGCACATTTGTACATGTATGCACAATCATACATGTACATGGCAATAACCAAAATAAAAAAAATAAAAAAATAAACCCGACCGACCGACCCTGGTACGGATGAGTGAAGTGACCCGAAACAACGAATTAATTCTAGGTAGCCTTATTATCAAAATAATATTAATGGCGGAGGTTTCTCGCTTCGATCAACTACTACTACTACCAAGAGTACATAACCCCCCCAGACCAGAGTGTGCAACGCCGATCCAGCTCTGTGTAGGGTCTTGGTCGAGCGGAATCGGATCTTCTGATGTCATGCGTACACTTCACACCAGTGCAAGGCCGGTCTCGAGGCAGGGCACCATTGTTTTTGATCCAAGAGTACCCGCGACTCCCCGGGTTCCCCTCAGATGTGTACGGTATTATGACGCAAAGATCCGATTCCGCTCGACCAAGACCCTACTGTAAATATACAACTTTTCGGCAGCTATTTAATTTCGGCTATTCGGCACCGACCCAAAACGCCTAAATTAAAACGCCGATGAAATTTTTCACAGCATCTGTCGCACTATACCATGCCCTCTACCCCACGCCGAAAATAAATCGCCGCCGAAATGTCAAAAATCGTGAAGTGCCGAAATTTTGCAGCGCCGAAATTTTGTATATTTACAGTATCTGGCCTATGCAGAGCTGGGTCGGCGTTGCACACTCTGGGGGTTAGGCCACCCTGGTTAATTCATTGTTTAACGTCCTTTTTTTCGCGAAAAGGTACGCGGGAGGGCGGAAAAAAACAAAAGCCCATTCCAAAAACTAAAAACCCCAATCAAACATTTTGACCAGTAAAGCATGTGATATTTCTGGGTCTAACGGCACTTGCAGGCATAGAACAACACTCTTTGATGGTACATTGGAGCACTTGCCTGATGAATCCAACAAAACAGGTACATAGCACACTGTACAATTTTATTGAAACAAAGAAAAATGATGGCACCTATGTACAGGGGATGGCCCACGCCTGGTATAAAGTAAACGTAAAAGAGAAAAAAAGTAGTACAGTGAAATCGATAACAATAGTTCAGTTCCCACACCGCTCCTGAGCCGGATCAGACCACAACAGGTACATACAATCATGATAATCGGATGTGCGACCAGCGCTGCATTCCATGCAGCGCATAAAAAATGCATGTGTGTTCCGCTTTATCCACGGCCACGGCTGCTAAAACAAACGCTTGGCCAGCGCCCTGGGGCCGGCGCTAGACGCGCGACCGGATTTCCATGTCCACCGTACCCGACAGTAGGACTACATGACAGTACTAGTACTACAATCATGTAGTAGTAGTACATAGTAGTAGTATGGAGAACGAACGCGTTCAAAAGTATGCTTTTCAGCGCAAACAATAATATTTTCGCTATTTCGATCGTGTTCTCGCTCAGTTACTGTTTCTCTGCTTGTAATTGTAGCGAAGATGTAGCTTGCTCCAGGTAATGTTGACGTCTTCTAGTTCTAGATATGCTGGACCATGATGGACGCTTGGAGAGATCGGCTGTGGCGATACCATCGCGGAATGCCACTCGAAATTGAATATTTGTATCCCTGATCCCATCGCAGAATTCGCTCTCCAAACAGGAGCGAGAGGGAGTGCAGCGATGGCCTAAAATCGTCAAGGCAGGCGTAATTCACCAGCCAGCGACTGCTTCTTGTCTTCTCTTTCACTTACCTTAGCCTGGATGTGAGTAGATGAAGAAAAATATTGATTTCGAATCTGAGACAATATTTCGAAATTTGCAATATTGAAAACCTGAAATATGTGACAATACATGACATATCCCTGGCATGTTGTTGCTCTTCATGCACTGAGACAACGCTTGGGAGGTGGTTTTGTCCCTATGTTCCCAGTACATGAGCACAAACTAATTTTCATCCTATCTGTTTGTGATATCCTGATAGGTCAGAAATATGCACAATTGGCGCGTATCTTTGGTTTTCCACCTATGGCCTTCATATACTACTGCATGCTGTACCAGTATCCATGCCTACCTGGGTGCAGTGATACATTATGGAGTCAGGAAAACACAACTTGCATATACAAAAGTTCTGTAGATTTCACACCATGGTTGCTTCTTTGGCTACGATAGCCCGTACCTTACATACGATCATAATCAGTAGATGGCTGGTATATAAAGGGTTAAAAGAAGCTAAGAACGGCGCCGCGGTGTTGGTTTTCTGCCAGCTTATGGGATACATAATAATGATCCAGAACGAACTGTTTCTAAGAACGTGCTATAAGAACGCAGCCAGATTGCTGAAAAAATAAGAACGCCCCAGGTTATCCCCTTGGAAACAACGTTCTTTGGCGCGCACTCTACTGTATATCTGGTATTCGCCGGACTCGCCCCATTGCTGACATCAGACCAGCACGTGACTTGGTGCCTTCAGTGCACTGAACTTACTTGTACTTGAAGGCACCACATGCACCACTCCACCAGGGCCTCACCCTGCTCACTCACTGACTGTGTCTGGAGTCACTGCCCCAGATTCCTGAACACCAGTTTTGTGATGACGCGGCCCCGTGCCCGTAGCCGTCAATGCTGTGACCATGGTCTGGTGGTGACTGATTGCCAAGGAGGCATGGGCGCGAGTACGGGTGTGTGCAAGAGTACTACATTTGTAGTACGTATGAAAAACTGGTTTTCATGCACAGTTATATAAATATACGTAGACATCTACTCGGCTTGTCAGTCATGGTCGCCATGGTCACAAGTTGGTGTGTGTGTGTGTGTGTGTGTGTGTGTGTGTGTGTGTGTGTGTGTGTGTGTGTGTGTGTGAACAAGAGTAGATAAACTGTTTTGTAGTCTTGCTTAGTCTTGGTGTGAATATGGTGCTGACTGACTGTCTGTGGTAATCTACATATTGTACATATACGTGGCAGTAGTCAAAGAACATTAAAAATCTTGAAAATCCATGATCATCCGGAATAAATGAATAGAAGAATCCAAAGTCCACGCATGCCGCTCACATTATTTTTACTATCTGTGCATGTACATGTAGAATCAGACCATTGTTATAATTTTTACCATAGGCATAGCGCAACTGAAATACCGGCTAAAATTCCCGACCATCATAATCATGCAGGGTGATCCCCGCTAACCGGTAGTTAAAGGGGAAGTTAAGGGGGCACATCACCCAAAAATTCGGTGAAAAATCGAATTTGTAAATTCATATTGAGTGCTACGTCAGCTGAAAGAGCATGAATAGCTGCAAATTCTCTGAAAACTGTGTCCCTATCTGACCAGCCGTTCAAGAGTTATGGCCGAAAATGTACCCTTGCAAGGAAAGATTTTTTTGTTGCATGCTGTCATTTGTTGGCAGCACTGTATTTGAATGTGAGCAGACCGTGCGCAACTTGTCGTATTATGGAAACACGCGAAAGTGTGCAGAATTTTGCCCCAAGTCCAAAAAAGTCCAAAAAATCACGTTAAAAAACCACGTATTGGGCTGCACGGCGGCGGGCGAAGCCCGCCGCCGTGCAGCAGGACTTTTGCCAGCACCCTCGTGACGTTGCAGATATGTGGCTTGATTATTGTAGTTGACGTTGATTTAGTGACTTTGGCAAGTTTGAGTCGTGTCAAGAAGTCAGGTAGGATTCAGTACTAGGCAGTAGTGAAACGTGAGTGGCAGTCTTTGCCGGTTTCTGAGGGCATCCTGGATTTGGTGTGCAGCGCTGTGGAAATGGCTTGCTGTGGAGGTCCCAGCACTGGATGTTGTATCAAAGGTACGACCTCGTAGCACGTGCTAAACCTAAAAAAATTCAAAAATTGACTTGGGTCTGTGGGAGTCCGTGAGAGAACGCCCACTCATTCCGTTGTGACAGATTCCAGGGCCACGTTGAGGGGCCCTACCCCACCACCCATGGCTGCTTCTGGACTTATTTTAGGTTTGGGTCCCGCGCACGGACAGAATGGGCACGAAAATGTGAAAAAAATGTAAATGCATTTGTTT